TTACTTTGATACGCCGGTCTTGGTCTGTATCAGATCTACATCTCTATTCTTGAAAGGAAAGAATATTCTGAAGCATAAAGGAGCATCAGGTTGACTTTACCTTCTTGGAAATGTGATGCACTAATTCTTGTGATTTTAGCTAATGCAGTTTGATACTGCCTCCCACTGTCTGCTTTGCCTGTCTGCCCGATGTGGGATGTCAGAATTGCACATACATATGCTCCTTAGCTGTGCCAGTTAATATGTAATTTACAGCTTGATTTTATACCATGTTAAAGATGATAAAGCAAAATGTGAAGGGACATGTCGTTCTGTTGCTCTTCCCAATGTGCGCCAAAGATGGGTGGAATGGATTCCTCTGCTAATTAATATCTTTACACTGTTGCAGCTTAATCTCCCAGAGCTTTTGGGTCATCTTCAGATGATCAGCAAGAAAGCGTTGACGCTGTTTTTAAAAACAAACACACAAAAAACAATTGTGAGGAAAACAAACAAAAATATGTGTATGTGTGATCATTTCCAGTACAACTTGGAAGCGATGAACACTGGCATTATGGCATAAAGAATAGATTGTCTGTTGTACTGGCGTAGACTTTACGTTCTGAATAGCTATATTAAAAGTAACCAGACTTCAAGCTCTATTTTGCGGCATTTATTTATTTTTTTCTTAAATTGAACTATGTTGTACACTTGCTCAAACTGTAGAAACATTTTGGTTTATGAAGAAAATAAAACATTCTTTTGCCTCCAGGAATCGGACATTCAGTGTAGGAATACTCTTCGCTCTCACCTTTCTCTCCCCCCCCCCCCCCCCCCAGAGATGTAGCCTTTTGCAGAGAACTTTTTTCCTGGGAAATTAGTCTCTGTTGTTTGGTTATCTCTTACTTGGCCGGACTTAGGAAACATATTCTCAAATTCCCCCTAAATACTTCCAAAACGACACCTCCAATGCAGCTATTGAATATCAATAACAGTGCGTAGGGTATTTCTCTCTAGTATCTGTCATGCGTATTTAGAAGGGAGTATATATATGTCTTGCACCGAAGCTCCGCATAGATAGCTGCAGAGTGGATTTGATAAATCAGTTTTATGTAAGATGTCATCTTCCCTTCCATTCAGCATAACCACCATGTTCTCATCGTGAGCAGGTGTCGGCTTAAACTTACAAAAATTTTAGTGCTTTTATAAAGCCTGAAATGATTAGTCTATATATTTGCAAGCAAAATATACTTCAGTGTTGCAAGTTGAAGAGAATTCCTTTATGTGGCCTAATACGTCGAATCATTACGAAAGGTTAGGACGGTACCCTGCTATGTTCTATTTTGACAGTCTTGTCATCGTTTCTGCAACGCGCTCAATTTATTGAAAGGCTGAGGCATTTGTAGTTGGCTCCTCCCAAGGAGCCAACTCCCAAGGTCTGCCCTAGTTAATACTGTGGATTACAAGTGGAATTGAGGAATTAATCTCATTCAGTATAGCCGAAGGCATAGCTGTTTTATGTATCCACATAAAGGTTTTTCAGGTTTTCTCACGGACATGCTCAGAAACCGATTCTCTCCAATTAATCAGTAAGGCTTTAATCATCAGCTTCTCGGGGATGCAAGAACAACCCTCAGTGGCTAGCTCTTCTTCCTTGTCTTCACAGGGAAGCTAGCTGTCTGTGCTAGCTGTCATTTCAGGTGGAGAATTTCAAGTACTGCAGACTTTAAATCTCTGCACTAAAACTTTTTAGATGAGCAAAATTTGGGGGATTTAGCACACGTCCTCAAGAGTAAGCTTATCCCAAAAATCATGTAAGTGTTTTTTCTCAGCCAACGAATAACTTTCCTTTGCATTTGTGATTATATGTTATTGATACAGTTGTAATTATATCTGATTTTTAAAATATATGTGTATGTGTACACATGTATATGCATATATATATATATATAAATATACATATAATAAAAAAATATTCCAGCTAAATGCATCCAATGATGAGATTGTTTTACCTAGAACAGGCTCCCTTAGAAAGGTATTCTGTTTCGGTGACCAAAAAATTGAACAAAATGACTATTTCAGTACAAACTATTTCGCTGGGTAAATGACTATATCAGAATTTTGTTATAAAATCATGACACTGGCAATACCTACACTAGTTAATGCAGTCTGCAGGAGCACAGTCAGCATACTGTCTTCCTCCTGGAATGTTTCTGGTCTCGAGAAATGCAGAGCTTCCTTAAATGTCGCCAGTTGAGTTACTCTGTCTGTCTGTCTGTGTGTCTCTCTCTCTCTCTCTCTCTCTCTCTCTCTCTTTCTCCCGGGCCTTTATTAAGGACTTTGAAACACACTTCACGTTAAAGGGGTTTTACTGCTTGGATTCCCACACAGTATGAATGTATGTCTGGACAAGCACTAGGCAGCACAGAAGTCATTTACCTGTCTGTATATAAATATCTTTAAAAGCATTTCATCCCTGTAATCTGCTCCCCTTCCATGAGGATCCTAAAGGTTATTGGAAGGTTTGAGAGTTGAGATGAAATGAAAGATCAAAGATTAGCACGTGCACCCCCCCCACCTCCTCCTGGCTCGTCCTGGAAGTGCCCGGTGTTGGCATGTTTGCTGAGCCATGTATTGTTTTTCTTGAAAAGGTTTTTCTGTTGCTCTCAGAGATGTAGCCTTTTGCAGAGAACTTTTTTCCTGGGAAATTAGTCTCTGTTGTTTGGTTATCTCTTACTTGGCCGGACTTAGGAAACATATTCTCAAATTCCCCCTAAATACTTCCAAAACGACACCTCCAATGCAGCTATTGAATATCAATAACAGTGCGTAGGGTATTTCTCTCTAGTATCTGTCATGCGTATTTAGAAGGGAGTATATATATGTCTTGCACCGAAGCTCCGCATAGATAGCTGCAGAGTGGATTTGATAAATCAGTTTTATGTAAGATGTCATCTTCCCTTCCATTCAGCATAACCACCATGTTCTCATCGTGAGCAGGTGTCGGCTTAAACTTACAAAAATTTTAGTGCTTTTATAAAGCCTGAAATGATTAGTCTATATATTTGCAAGCAAAATATACTTCAGTGTTGCAAGTTGAAGAGAATTCCTTTATGTGGCCTAATACGTCGAATCATTACGAAAGGTTAGGACGGTACCCTGCTATGTTCTATTTTGACAGTCTTGTCATCGTTTCTGCAACGCGCTCAATTTATTGAAAGGCTGAGGCATTTGTAGTTGGCTCCTCCCAAGGAGCCAACTCCCAAGGTCTGCCCTAGTTAATACTGTGGATTACAAGTGGAATTGAGGAATTAATCTCATTCAGTATAGCCGAAGGCATAGCTGTTTTATGTATCCACATAAAGGTTTTTCAGGTTTTCTCACGGACATGCTCAGAAACCGATTCTCTCCAATTAATCAGTAAGGCTTTAATCATCAGCTTCTCAGGGATGCAAGAACAACCCTCAGTGGCTAGCTCTTCTTCCTTGTCTTCACAGGGAAGCTAGCTGTCTGTGCTAGCTGTCATTTCAGGTGGAGAATTTCAAGTACTGCAGACTTTAAATCTCTGCACTAAAACTTTTTAGATGAGCAAAATTTGGGGGATTTAGCACACGTCCTCAAGAGTAAGCTTATCCCAAAAATCATGTAAGTGTTTTTTCTCAGCCAACGAATAACTTTCCTTTGCATTTGTGATTATATGTTATTGATACAGTTGTAATTATATCTGATTTTTAAAATATATGTGTATGTGTACACATGTATATGCATATATATATATATATAAATATACATATAATAAAAAAATATTCCAGCTAAATGCATCCAATGATGAGATTGTTTTACCTAGAACAGGCTCCCTTAGAAAGGTATTCTGTTTCGGTGACCAAAAAATTGAACAAAATGACTATTTCAGTACAAACTATTTCGCTGGGTAAATGACTATATCAGAATTTTGTTATAAAATCATGACACTGGCAATACCTACACTAGTTAATGCAGTCTGCAGGAGCACAGTCAGCATACTGTCTTCCTCCTGGAATGTTTCTGGTCTCGAGAAATGCAGAGCTTCCTTAAATGTCGCCAGTTGAGTTACTCTGTCTGTCTGTCTGTGTGTCTCTCTCTCTCTCTCTCTCTCTCTCTCTCTCTTTCTCCCGGGCCTTTATTAAGGACTTTGAAACACACTTCACGTTAAAGGGGTTTTACTGCTTGGATTCCCACACAGTATGAATGTATGTCTGGACAAGCACTAGGCAGCACAGAAGTCATTTACCTGTCTGTATATAAATATCTTTAAAAGCATTTCATCCCTGTAATCTGCTCCCCTTCCATGAGGATCCTAAAGGTTATTGGAAGGTTTGAGAGTTGAGATGAAATGAAAGATCAAAGATTAGCACGTGCATTTCTTTCCCCCAGGCCCCCCACCTTCATGATGCTAGGTGGATGAGGTTTAAGAGAATGCCTTAGAAGCACCACTAAGAGGGCAAGGGAGGAATTCGGTTCTGAAGTGTTCCTGCATATGTGTACCCGCAGTGTGAAATGAAACGCTGATAATACTTTACTGAGAAGAACAGTTGAAGCTAGTATTTATTTTTGCATGTCTGGCTGGGGCTTCCACTTCTGATGATTGTTGCAAGACCTTGTAAAATGTATATGTATAAATGTTTTTTTATATATTCGCATGGACTTTCAAAATGTGTGTGTGTTTATACATATATATTTGTGTGTGTTTATATAAATATATATATATGTAAATAAAATATGAGCAATATTTTTATAAAATACATCCTGTCAGAAGGTTTGTGCTTTAGAGAGTACTACATGGTGAAGTGTTCTCCAAATTGAAAATCTTTAAAGAAAAATGAACATAGCTCATTTTGTTCAAACTATCTGGAGTATGTAGCCTGTGTTTTTGCATATATTTGAAATAGTTCATGTAAAGAATTCTCACAGAAAGAGCCTAAAGTCATTTTTCTTGAGTGGTTAATTTGTTTCCAAGTTCTTAAGGTCACATGTGCTTTCAGTTTGCAGTTAATATGTTTCGAACATTGCCACCATCTTCCAATCCAACGGGAGCAGAGTTTGATCCAGAGGAAGATGAACCAACTTTAGAAGCCGCGTGGCCTCATCTACAGGTATTTAATGAAGACTAGGAAGTCATAGTCCAAAAGAATTTTGACATTGAAGTCATTGTTTATTGACTCAAAATAATTCAGGGTATGTGTTTAGCGGTTATCTTAAGTTAGCTAAGTCAATTATATTTGTCTATAATATTTAAAGTATTTCTTGAATTTATACTGATGATCTTTTCCAAAAACCTAATTTATTATATTAGAGGCCACGGGCTTGCCTGTTTCTTGCAGTACAAATATAACTGCTGTGACTTTAAATTAGCTTCGGTTTGTCACTCTTAATACTTTGATCTGATTCTGGTACAGCTCTGGTTTTCAGAGGTCCTCTGAGACAAACAGAGGAGAACCTACTTTTCAGAACACACGTTTCTGGGCAGGGTGAATTTTAGATTACCGATTATCACTTGAGTGAAATCTAGGAATGTAGTTCTACAGAATATCAGTGCAGTTTAAAGAACGTAAAGTTCTTGTGCATGCTACATGGGAGGGCACGGGAGAAAGTATAGAAACATACTATATGGGGAGGGCAGGAACAAAGCTGTTAGCATAGCAATAGCTTTTTGACACAACTGTGGTATATAAATAAAAACATAGTGCATTTTGGAGTAGCTAATTAGTAAGTCTAGCAATGTACTGCTTATAAAATTGTTCCTGCTTTAAAAGACTCACTGTTTCTTTTTTCTTTCAGCTTGTTTATGAATTTTTCTTAAGATTTTTAGAATCTCCGGATTTCCAACCTAATATAGCTAAGAAATATATTGATCAGAAGTTTGTATTACAGGTGAGGTTTAAAAAAAAAAAAAAAAAAGCATTTTTAACTTCAAGCTCTGAATCAAAATTACTTGAATCTAATGCATTTCAGAATAAAGTACACCTTTTTTTTTTTTTTTTTTTTTGCTTCTTTGCAGCTTTTAGAGCTCTTTGACAGTGAAGATCCTCGTGAAAGAGATTTTCTTAAAACTACTCTTCACAGAATATATGGGAAATTCTTAGGCCTAAGAGCTTACATCCGGAAACAAATTAATAATATATTTTATAGGTATGTCAATATCTTCACATTATGGTGCATATAATCAAATATATGACTAAATATACTACAAGACACTGTTAGCAATTTTATTATTATTATTTTTAATTCTTCTTAAGTTTAAACCTAATAATGTTACATCTAACAAGAGCTAATACCAGTCTGGAGATTTAAGTTAGGGAAGTCTTGCACGCAACATAGATTGAGCAACTGAAATTTTTGTTTGTTGGTGATTCAGTGGGTGGCTTGGTATCTTCATCTATAAGCCTTTTTATCATCGGGTGGCATTATTTCTATTACCGTAGTGCTTTAATAAAACATAGCTCTTCATAATGCACATATTGCTACTCAAATGGAATGACTGAGAAATCTGGAATTTGGTTTAAGGAATATATTTACTGCATTTTCTTTCCTTAGAATTAAGATATACCATTTGTGGCTAGTGAAAACTTTTTTTTTTAATTGCCATAAAATATACTGCAGTATTACTCCTCCAATCCAAAAATGTCTAAGATGAAAAATTAACCTGCTGTGTTAACAAAGCTGTTTTGAAGTGTGTTTTCACTGCCATTGTATCAGGTGTGAATACAAAATTACAGTACCTTTTCGAATTCTCTGGCCTAATACTGTGGCAAATCCCATTTGAATTGAGAGAACTGCTAAGATTGGAACATTCAAGAAACGCTTTAAGGAATTGGGTGCTGCAGGTGCTCAGTTGCTACTATTTAACTGATGATGCTTGTACCTTGAAAGATAAGAGAATATATTGGCATTCTTGTGTCATCACCTGAATGCCCTTCTTATCTAGGGTTGGAATGCTTCCAATCATCAATGCTACTGAACTTGACAAGAGTTGAAGGCTACCATCTAGAATATATTACTGAGAAGTGAGACCAGTATAGACTTTTTTTTTTTTTTTAAGAGCTGAAATTTAACTTACAGTTGACTTTGCCTACTTATTTATTCCTCAGTATTGCTCTTAATGTTTGTTCACTTGGATTATGGACAGTATTTTTAGGGAACTTATTTAGATTCCTGCATGATATCCATGAATACTTGTGTAATCTTAGACCAAATGTGTAGTATTTCAGCTGCTATAGCTTTAATCATGGATAGAGCCCCTCCCTTATGTATCTTGCTACATAACCAAAGTTACTGTATTTTACAGACTGTAAAGATTGGAACTTATTTAAGTTAGTGCAATAAATATGAATTCAGAATGTTGGAAAAAAGCAGTTAGATACCGTGAGTTTGCCGTTCTCAGTGCAGTAAATCATAAGAAATCCTATAATTTGGCAGCTGGTTCTACCACCTATATGTATATATATACAAAACAGATTTTCACTTGCATGTTGTCAGTGTTACTGAAATTAATACTTAAACTATCAAGTATGAAACTGGCAAAATAAGGATGTCTGCAGGTTATTCAGCGGATTTTATATAATTAAAATACTGTACTTAACTTTCTGAAATAGAGAGGTTGGAAATACCTTTACACTTCATGAGAAGAGAAAGCAAAAGCTAGACAAATGCACGTTGTGATTTCAAGAATGCCGTGAAGTGACCGTTTCTGAACGTCTAGTCAGCAGATACAACCTGCTTGATGCCTAACATAAATCTACTAAGGAGATATCCAAACATATAGGCACTCTCTGCAAATAATTTCAGTGTTTGTGCGTTTCACAGTTACACAACAAGAGTCTGGGTATGTGCTAAAACAGTTTGGGTTTGTTTCTCTGTTTGTAAGCGTACACTGTGACACTTCATGTTAATGAGGGGGCAACAGAAAGCTTTTTTTAGTCTCTTTGTTTGAGTACAGTTTTTTCCCTAAAGTCAGTATATTGTGTAGCAGTCTTTTATGCTTTCCATCGTGCTTCCCTCTTGCTCTACCACTGTCATTTTCTTCCCAAAATGAATGTGTGGTGCTACCCCCTTAAGAAAACAGCACTGAATGTGTGACAGCTTTTTGCTGTTTTATGAATGGCACCCAGCAGTACCAGCTGTAGAGGGAGTTTATCATCTCTGTAGAGAGCAGCAAGTAAGCCTTTAGAGGATATTCGAAGAAGCTGCTTTAAAATAGTGAATAAGCCCTCGCTGTCCTGCAGGCAACAGCTCTTGACTGGATGTGTGAAAAGCCAGTGTTTGCTGAAGAAAAGGTACAGGTATATTTTTCAGATGAAAGGATTTAAACTTTTTTGTCTGTGCATAGTTTTCATTAAATTAATATTAAAAAGTGTAATTTCGTAAAATAGCTGAGCCAGATGGTACAGCAACATCGTAGTCTATTATAATTCACTTCTGAACTTCATTTTATTTGTCACTTCTTGTACTAGTTACGTTCAGAAATAATGGAAGCAGAGTCTTAGACTATAGATTGTTCTGGTGCCTGACTTTTGAAACACTTAATCATTACATCAACTTTATAATGGTTTAAACTTCAAAAAAAATTTTTTTAATCTAAAATTTACGTGAGAAATGATATCATTTGTAGAGAAAAGCAGTTTCTACAGTACAGAGTTAAGTTTAAAAAAAAAAAAAAAGGGGGGGCAACAAAAAAACACCTCTCACTTGTTTATCCTGAGCTGTATAATGCTTAGGAGCTAGAAATTGCATTTTTTTGCCTCTGAATGTAAAGTAGTGTTCCTGAATGTGGACACTAGGGAAGAAAGTTGTTTCAGCTTCTGTCTTGAATCAGTAGAGTGCGCATGATGAGCTCTTAAAGTGTGTGTAGAATTTCTGAGATTTCCTTTTCTTGCACTTTTTTTCTGCAAGTCTTCTGTTTTTGACTAGGCTTACCTAAGGAGTGTGTGGTCTTTTATGTTTTTAGTCACTAACCAGAAATACATAAATTCTGTTCTGATAATGTGTTGATCTTATATGTTACACTGGTGAGGGGAGCACAGTATGTTCCAGTTGACTTATTCTTAAGATTTTCATATCAGTGTATTCAGTTTCACTGAAATCCATTGTCCTGAATTATACGTAGGGTGCTTTTTAAGGAGAAAAAACTGCCATATGAAATATTCTGGATTAAAAGTAGTTATTAGAGTGCCAGTCTGGCAAGTTTTCTATTACATTAGAAAATAATTTTTTAAGTATGAAATTTTGTATAATTATTTACAAGACACCTGAAGTTGTCCGTGGAAGTCTCCCAAAGTTGCATTCAGGCAACTGAGAAAAAGGGAAGAGAAAAGGGGTCTGTATAGTAAACTGCGTCTCTATCAAAAGAAAATTCAAGAAAAAGTTACTTCCTCTGCTTTTTACAGGGCCTTTTGTATGCACAGAAGTCTGTAATGCCAGAGAGCTTTTTAGATCTGCAAGTAGGGACTGTTTGAACATGTTGTGTTCACATGTCCTACAGGAGGCTGAGTCATGGCATTTAATTGTGCCAGATGCTCTGTGTTATCTTAATATTTAAGGCATCATTTGTTATGTTCAGTTGTGCATTATTGAAAAGGTATAGAATACGACTACTAGAAGAAAGTTCAAATGCATGCGTTGTTGTTAAATGTGGGAGAAAAGAGCACGCAAGTTTGAAGGTTGAAAGCAGCTTGACGCGCTATTGATTTGCGCTTCTGTATGCAGTATGCACATCTACAGAACAGATTTTTAAAGAAAAAAACAGCGACACTGTCTTTAGCCCTCAGACATTACAATTTATCATCTAAAGTATGAGAATATTCAAAATGGCTTCTTATTCTCATCATTAGAATATTCTGAGTACAGCGAGAAAGTAGTTCTTAAAACACAATTATCCAAAAATTAAATATGTTTCTAAATTGAGGATTTTAGAAAAGTTTCTCAGACTACTAAAACATTGAGGTGAACTCTGCTGAGGGTTCCTTTTCCACTGTGTGTTTCTGTTTTCCTTTTACTAAGTGACTAAAATCTGGTAGGTTAAGGCTAGATGTAATGTTAGATGGTTATCTTGGTACTCTTAACTGAGTAAAACTGTGCTTTTGTTGTTTAGGTTTATTTATGAAACAGAACATCACAATGGCATAGCAGAATTACTGGAAATACTCGGAAGGTAAGTTGTAGTTTTTGTCTAATTAAACTCATCAACCACTTGGATTTCAGAGATGAGACTTTAAAAATCGGGTTGGCAATGGTAGATTGTTTTGAGATGAGATTAATAAAAGCTTCCTATAAAGTGGCAAAGCTGTGACTGAGAACAAATTGTGCATAAGTTTGCAAAAACAGAACAAAACTTCAGTCTCGTGACAGTGTCTTGGGATGTGACAATATTAAACCTTATTTTTTAAGTCTTTTATTTTCTAGTTTATGATTCTCATGATTAAGATTAGTTGTAATGAAACTGTATTTATTTTGCAAGTAATTAGTTAAAATTTATTTTTGAATTCTTCTCATGTGACTAAGCGTATAGTAGGCAAACAGGAAACATAGGTAATTAAATCTTCAGGAAACCTTGTTTTGTTAATCTCGTTGTGTAGTAAACTTCACTGATTTGTCTGAGAGCCCTTGAATCTAAAACTGTGCAACTTTAAAAGCCAATAGCTTAGTCAAAACTGGCGTGTTTTTATGAAACTTTTATTTTAAATACATTAATATACTTGAAAAGAATAGTTAGGTTCACTTCATAGTTTTCCCATATCTTTGCATGTGAGCATAAACAGTTTAATGACACTGGTGGTTTACTTTTAGGAAGATTTCACAGAATCAGAGAATCGTTGAGTTTGGTAGGGCGCTCTGGAGATTGTCTAGTCCAACCCCTTGCTCAAGCAGAATCACCTAGAGCAAGGTGCCCAGGACCATGCCCGGTTGGATTTTCAGTATCTCCAAGGGTGAAAACTGCACACATCTCTGGGCAACCTATTCCAGTATTCAAGCACCCTCACAGTGAAAAATATTTTCTTACATGAAAGTGGAATTCTCTGCATTTCAGTTTGTGCCTGTTGCTTCTTTTTCTTTCGCTGGGCACTACTGAGAAGAGTTCAACTCTGTCTTTAGCGCCTCCCGTCAGATATTTGTACACACTGACAAGTTCCCCCAGAGCTCTTTTCCAGGCTGAATAGTCCCAACTTTCTCAGCTTCTCCTTGTATAATGGGTGTTCTCATCCCTTAATCATCTTCATGGTTCTCTGCTGGACTTGCTCCAGCAGGTCCATGTCTTCCTTATACTGAGGAGCCCAGAACTGGGCCCAGCACTCCAGATATGGTCTCACCAGTGCTGAGAAGAAGGGAAAAATCACCTCCCTCGACCTGCTGGCAGTGCTCTTCCTGATGCAGCCTGGGTTACTGTTGAAATTTGAAAAACGTTTTAAAATTTTCTGGGCCTGTGTGTCTGCCTAGAATAGTTACTTTTATTTAATTTTCAGTGAAATGCTTAATGGTTCTTAAGTTACGAATCTTATTGTTATTTCAACATTGTATAATCAAATGATCACTGATCAAGTTAAAATGAAGACTGTAAAACTGAAATCTCGGAATGTGGAGCTAACTGTTGGGAACTAATACTTAAGCCACCAGCTTTTTCAATTTAGGGTTTGTCAGTATGGATTTAAGAGTTTGCAAACTTAAAAGTTAAGTATTGCTTAACTTTTTACTCGGGTTTCTAAATCAAAATTTCTATTAGCTAAATTAGGCTATTGGCCTGTAGCTGTTGTATACCAGCTATCCTTACAGCAGAGTAGGGAGTTTCACACAGCCTGTTGTTGACACAGAGCTTCTTATACAGCTCAGAATAATGGTTTTTAGTTGGGTTCCTGGGTTTTGACTTTTCATCTTCTGGATATTAGTTGCATCCATAGTTAATTCTTTTGGGAGAATTCTTTATTTTAAAAAAAAAAAAAAAAAAAGTCCCTAAAAGTTTAGGCTGGAAAAAGCAGCTGTTTTCAGTTTTAATTCCTGGTTCGTTGACTTCTTTTGTCGCCTCTGTATTACGTGGTACTGTATGCTTAGAGTTAGGACTGCCTAGTACTTTTCCCATAAGATCATCTTTCAGCTCTTCAAAAATACGTCAAGATTTCCTTGGGCTGTATGTGTGTGTATTCAAGAGAAGATATGTGATGAGCAGTGCCTGGGAGTGAGAGGAGGCAGGAAACAACTGAAAGGAAGTGAGTAGGAAAGAGTAGGATTTGATACCTGAAACAGAATGTTGAAGAGGAGGAATTGAATTTCATGCTGAAGTACTGGATTTCATCCTTTTTTCTTTGCCAAATATGATATGATGCTGGGCAAATGAACAGTTTCAGTAGGAACTACTAATGTAGTCGTGTTTTTTCTGACACAGACCTTGACAGGATTGCAGAAGTTTTTGACACCTAAAATCAAGGCGAAA